CTACACTGGAGTTACTGAGGTGTCATCACCGATCTCACCGGATACACCCGCAATGTGATCACCGATCTCACCGGATACACCCGCAATGTGATCACCGATCTCACCGGATACACCCGCAATGTGATCACCGATCTCACCGGATGCCTTCACTCAGTCTGGCCAAAGATCGGAAACAAGGTTTTTGGAGGAAATTGTTGGTGATATTTTTCCCGGCGTGTGCCGCATCCGGTCATTGAGCCGGTCTGACTTTTCAATCGTTGAAAGAATCCGCTGAGAGATCCATTCCGCCTATTGTGGAGATTTCTGCCACACAGATGACTTTCCATGGAACCGGAGCCAACGCCGAGCTACCAATAGAGTGTAGATGGAAGGGGTGAGACCTGACACTGCGTAATACAGAATACCGCCGGCTATAGAGAACTACAACTCCCAGCAATACATTATACAGCAATACAGAATACCACCAGCTATAGAGAACTACAACTCCCAGCAATACATTATACAGCAATACAGAATACCGCCAGTTAGTCAGTGGTGGAGCACCGGGACCTGGTTGCAGCGGTGACGCTGGTAGATCTGCCACTAACTCCAAGCTATAGAGGACTACAACTCCCAGCAATACATTATAAAGCAATACAGAATACCACCAGTTATAGAGGACTACAACTCCCAGCAATACATTATACAGCAATGCAGAATACCGCCAGCTATAGAGGACTACAACTCCCAGCAATACATTATACAGCAAGTTGCTAGATTTGGGTCTGCTGGGCATATTTGCAGGGGCGAGTCTGGAGGCGGAGCTCCACCCGCCCCTATGTTACTTTGGCCCTGCTGGGAGAAGGATTTGTCCAGTGGCCCCCGAGTGGATTGAGCCCTCTGAACTCCTCCCTATGTCTTCTCCTCGGCTACCTGATGGGTGGGCTGGGGGTTGTAGTTAATAATATTAGATATAATTCGATATCCTCAGCGCGGCTCCCGAGACATCCGATATTCAGGAATACTTTATGATCAGATCAATGATTGCCGCAGAGGGAGGTTGCTGCGGGGCCCCACATTGTCAGACCTCAGGGGCCCCTGTCAGAGTCATGTTCTGTATCCTGAAGTCTTCATTTCTCGGGGCCTCCGGGGCTGAACGCCGAGCCCTGGGTGAGAATGTTACACTGTAACTCCACAGAGACAATACGAGTACACACACGGGGTATATACAGACACGCGCGGGGTATATACAGACACGCGCGGGGTATATACAGACACGCGGGGTATATACAGACACGCGGGGGATATACAGACACGTGCGGGGTATATACAGACACGCGGGGTATAT